GAATTCTTCATGAATGGATCTTTAGATACAAAATGTACGTTCACTTACTCTACACGCCATTTTCCGACAACTGGAACTTCAAGCAGATAATTTCGTAGCTCAGCAACCAGATCAGCTGGAAAACCGAACTTTTGCGAGCACCTCACGTCCCCTATACCTTACAGATAGACACTTGGGAAGTTTGCGAAAACAGTTTTGTAACTCGCATTTTTACGCCGGTTCCTTGGTGCGCACCGCAGTTTATTTGCATTATCAAAAATTATAACGAGTGAGTAAAATTTCAGAACAAGCGTACACCGATGCACTACGCGGCAGCCACTCGTGATGGCGGACATTACGTCAAAATTCTGAGTAAAGGCGGAGCTGATCCACTGGCTGTGGACAATGTAATTTTTATACATTTTTTCCAAAAACAAGTTCATGCTTGTGCATTTTTTATTTGATTTCGAAAAATAAGGTCATATTTACGTATTTGCAGGTTTTATTATTTTCCAGCACAGTTTATCGAAATAATCTAGGATTTGGATTTGCTTACGGTTATTTTCGTGAAAACTTTCTTCTAGGAAGGCCGCACTCCGGATTATTACCGCAGAAACACAGTGCTTGATTTGAAACTGATCAGAGATGACGACCAGGAGAATGAAATCTTACCCGAGGAATTCGAGGATGAGGCACCACAAATCGATTCACTACAGAGCAGTGATTCCACTTCGGCTGCGAGGTGCGTAAAGTTGTTTGCTGCGAAATGTTCGATGCATCGGTGGGTTTACTCATCAAGGTTCTGTAACGCCGATTAGTGGCGAGTTTAGAGAATGTGAGAAGCAAGGGGAATCCGAGTGGATGAGTGCCTTCGCTTTTGCAGTGGAAGTGTGCCAGCGAAGGAAAAATCAAAAACTAAATCGTGCGAGCTAAATTACTGGGGATAACACAAAAACAAACCGTGGAAGTTCGCCGGAGGAATATAAAAAATTTGTCCGAAAAGTCAGTAAAACAGTCGCATAAATGCTCTTTCTGTGATAAAAGAAGGTCGCTAGGTAAAAAGTGAATCGCAACTGAAAAAAATCGTCCTTACTTGGTCATCATTTGCTGTCAGAAACAAACGTGCAGCTCATGTGCTGGTAAAAATTTGGTCAGTAGCATAACTGGGAAGTCTTTCAGTTGGTTTCTTCACATAGAAGAAATGGAAAAATGGCCTCAAAAGTAGTCAATTTAAAAGCCTATTTCAGTTCGCCATCTGAATCGCCTCATTTGGATGAGCGGGATGAATTCGATCGGAGCAGCTACGAGCGTTTTGTTTCAGAGCGAATTGAACTGTTACCAACTACCGAAAATGGCCTTTACCTTGCCAGAACTGTTGCTCCTGTCCTTACGAAAGCTCTTGCTGAGGTTCAATTTTTTGAACTAAATTGTTATTTCTCATAGCAACGTTACACGGGACTGAGCCAGTGAACGGAATGAGCGAACCAGAATTAAACTTTATTTAACAAAACAGCCGGACGGACGAGGCAGACTTAGCAGATTCATCCGGCAGTAGTATCACGCTGGTGTCACACGCCAATTGGCGATGCTACTGATCTAATTTTATCACTTTTAATTACATCTTTTTAAATAGCAAGGAAGAACTGGAGTCACAAGGCTGGGCATTTGCATACTACATGCGAGGGAAAGGGAGCTGGAATAATGGGAAGAGGATCAGCCGCCTTCAGAGAAAGAGGGATTTTGCCTCCTCATCTTGCAACCGGCATGGCTACTAGAAATGTTATCGTGATATGTATCCAGATGCAGACAACAGCTTTGCTTCGCCAATAAATTAGATTACACACAAGATTGTCCTGATCGACGTCGCGGAACCACGATGCACTTACACGTCTCGGCTACGCCGAGAATTCCATCTGAGCTGCTCTCCCTAGTTCATAGTCTTCATGTCACTCGAATCATCGCTTTTTTTTCTTTTCGGGTACCATTCTTTGCCCCATAACGTTCAGCTCTTCTTATCAAAGGTATCAATGTGTTGCTCCCAGCGGTTTTTACGCCACTGTGGATTAGCTAACAGAAG